CTACAAGATGGCACTCATGTCTTTGCGCCATGCTCGATCCACGGAGAGTTCGAACTCAAAAATAAAGATTTCCAAATGCCCAAAAAATCGAAAAAAATCAGATCTTCGTCCAAACAATTTCTACGGACCTCCCACTCGCTCACATCAATACTATCGATATCTGATATCCATATGCGCGATTGCCGTATTTTTTCCTTGACCAGAAATTGAGAAAACGAAAAGTACCCTGATTTTCTCAAAGCAATGCTGAGCCGTTTTTGCATATGTAGTTCTATACTACTAGCTTAGGTAAGCATAACTGTAAATTTTCAGCCTATTTCGGACGGTACTTTTCGAGAAATGTCGATTTTAGTACTGAAACTGCAACGAAAAAATCCGAATTCGTTATTTTTCGAAAACTACCGCTTGGAATGGGCTGAAAACCTACAGTTATACTTACCTATGCTTGTAGTATAGGACTACATATGCAAAAACGGTTCAGCATTGCTTTGAGAAAATCAGGGAAATTTTCGTTTTCTCAATTTCTTGTCAAGGAAAAAATACGGCAATCGCGCATATGGATATCAGATATCGATAGTATTGATGTGAGCGAGTGGGAGGTCCGTAGAAATTATTTGGACGAAAATCTGATTTTTTTCGATTTTTTGGGCATTTGGAAATCTTTAGATTTTGAGTTCGAACTCTCCGTGGATCGAGCATGGCGCAAAGACATGAGTGCCATCTTGTAGAGCTTGCTTTGCTCTATCCAACGGTACTTTGAAGCCTATATAAGAATGAAAAGTGTATGACTTATTGCGGTTGAAATTCAAAACGTGCATTAATTATGAACCAACCTAATAGTTCAGGGGGTATTATCGAGACAGCAATAATAGGGGGGGGGGGGGGAGTCGCAACCACCAATCGTGTGCCACACCTCTTGCTTGACCCTATGCATGACCTACCATGTGGGTCACGCTGTCGTCAATGTATTGAGATGATCTTGTCCAGCAGTAGTGCCCTTCAGAAGGGAAGATGTTCTACATGAACCACGGTTCGGCACAGGTGGCACATGGGCAAACTGATTATCGTTTTGAAGGCAAAATGAGGAACTTTAGATATTTGCAAAATCGCTTAGCATCCCAGAGGGAAATACAATGTCTCAAAGTGTAAAATCAAAAACTTTCGTAATTGAAAAACTTGGCAAAATTTCAAAGGAGTTTTCTACTAATGATTGGTGAACTACTCGCTTGCAGTGCACATGTAATGGAACTCAAAATTTTGCCCGAAGATAAACAAATGATCTGTTTACAACAATACACACATCACAACAAATTCGCAATTATTTCTGCGAGGGTAATGGAATATTTACGAACTCTTGTGAGAAGCTTATGTGAGAAGAAAGCCTGCCTGATAGCTAAAAAGAAATACAAAAATACAGGCTCCATTCATGAAACTTTTAATTTTTTAGACATAGTCCGAATTTCTTCCTGTTCCAAGTTTGGCGGTGTCATTGACCGTTCGTTTGCTTAAAGCATTTGTTCATCTGTAGCATGATTTTGGATATCCCTGTGCGGGATGCTGTTAGAGTATGTGATTAAAATGATAACGCTGCCTTAATTTTTTTGCAAACTATCTATCGTTGAATAAATCTAAGAGAAGAACTTCCAACATGGAGTTTTCACTTCTGAGCATTTCTCTGCGACTTTTATGGGTGGTCCAAGCTTCCACCCCCCCCCCCTCTCTCCCCCCCCCCCTAACCCCTTCACCCGACCTCATCTACATGACACAAAATATTAAGGATGTTCATACTTGTGACGTAAATAGTGCGCAGAACAATTACAGTTTTTCGGAGCTGTGCTCATTCAATATTAATGATTGAGAACATGTACGTAGATGTTCTATACTTGATAAGCTAAACACTTGTTTGAGGTTTCAAGCACAGCAAGAAAATTTTGTCGTGTTTTTGCTATCTTATCGCGCTTGTCCCATAATTCGCGGAAGTTACAGGCGTTACGATAAGCATTACTGAGTAGCGATAACGAATGTTGTCTTACCCATTTCATAGATTCTTGAGTCATGCTGTATTCCTGAATATTTCGCTTCAGTTTTTTTTCCTAATCTATCGCATACAGTCAGCGATAAAGAAACATGCTCTCTGCTACTTCGAAATTCAAAAGTTAAATAATGCGGCAAAATTCTTTATCTGTCACCGTTTACTAGTGTCTAGGGAGAAACTGTGATTTTAGCTTCAAGTTCCTAATTGTTCTGGTGCAAACACGTGAAGCGAGAGCAGAGCATCTGGTACTCCTTTTCCAGTGAGTGGAATTGATTCTTAAGGGATTTCTGAGCTCAAGCGATCTTCAAAGGTATACTACAAAAAAGATTTCCAAATATATACTGATCATTGTCTGGTAGTCAAGCTGATAATTTCATAAATTAAATTTTGATTTAGACAAAGTCACTGTTTTGCAACAGTTCTGCACACAGGCATTCCGTCGCATCTACTCTAAAATGCTTCAGGAACAGTTTTTTCTAGAACAATTTTACATTTTTGCTTATTCCATTGCTATTCCGAATATGGAACAAAAGTTCAAAAAAGTCATTTACGATAAAGTTATGAGCGTCCGTTGTTTTCGTCGGAGATCCAGTCGCCAACCCACTGGAAGCAGTTTGAGAAATGTGTTTTGAGATTTTTTTTTTGCTTTCTGAATCTCCTACTTGTGTACTTTCCAGGAATCTTGTTAAATTTGCAAAAAACCTATTTCGAAGGAATCTATGCGCTTCCGACAATTTTTATTAATTTATATGGGCGGAAAAAGTCATCGCCTGGCGTTGTTTGCGCGAGTTAGGGGCGGCACTGTAGCCTGGTTTCAATTTTTCCTTTCTGCCAGTGGAGCGATGTAGACACAATCTGATTTATTTCTGCTCATTTGTCTTCGGTCCGTTGTATTCGCATGTGTTAGTAATGTACTTGAGGACACGGTTTCACATACAGTGTAAAAATGATCTCATCACTTGTTATTCTTTGATAATAGGGCGTACATAAATTTTACAACTGCTTCTAGTGCAACTTTGAAGGTGTCCAGCAAACTTTGATTATTCAAAAATTGTTTGACACCATAGCACTGAGTTAATGCTAGTTTTTTGTTTTTTCTTGCCGCTAGGTTTGCATGGTTTTCTTTCCGTAAAAAGTCTTGACCAAGTGATTCTATGGTAGCAATGCGTTCGAAATTTTCTCAAAAAGGAATTTAACCGCGCTGAAAACCCGTTTCGCAAATACAAAAATGTAAATCAGTGTTTTTATGCCGCATCTGTATATCTACATCTCATCTATTAACAATCTTATTCCATATGCAACTTCGAAAAATTGTGCACACTATTGGATCCTATATTTCTCTTGCGCCAATCCCGCCCTTTAACATCTTTATCTAGAGATAGCTCTAGCTTAGATCTAGAGTATAGATCGAATCACTCGATGCGCTTCAAAACTTTAGGGTTTCAGTATAAACTTCCAGCACACAACGTCATTTTGGGCCAATTCAAATATCAATCTAAAAAATTCTGCAGCAGGGTTTTCATGCACGCTGATTTCACTATCCAACTTTTAGAGTGTTTTAAGCTTTAGGATGGTGCCTCCAATGAATAATTTCAAGAAAAAATTGTTACGGTATTCTTGATATACCTTATACACGATGGCAAAGTGCAAATCTCATGTTTCTGGTCAGCGACTCTGTTTCGCCTACTGTAACAGTTTTCTTGCTTTGTTTCCCGTATAATTGAGGATCACCTATCGTTTGTCGTTACCATAGGAATACGGTAGGAATTCCTTTCCACGGTTTTGAGCTGTGAACGGCTAAATGGCCCTTAAAGGCAGTGGCTCTGGGAAATTGCCACTTTCTGTTCCTCCTTAGCTTTTTGGATACGTTTATACCAGAGCTGTGCTTGAAACAAGAAAATGCTTTTTATGGCGTTCTCGAGCCTTGGAGATTACTGAGGAGGCTGGAGCGTAGATCCGCGCAGCTGAGTCGCGATTGGCTGCCTGGACCAATCAACTATTCGCAGCCAAATAGACTGATGTTGCAGTCTCCTGTAGCCGTTCACTGTTTTTTGGCAGGAATCTCCGCATCAGCCTCCTCAGCAATCTCCAAGGCCGAAAAACGCAATAAAACCATTTTTTTGACTTTTCAAGCACAGCTCTGGTCTAAACGCATCTAGAAGGCCAAGGAGGAACAGAAAGCGCGAGTTAAAATCTTCAAGCCATTGCTTTTGAAGGCAGTGTTTGGGCAAAAAGTCGATTTTGAGACTTTGTGCTTACTTGGGCCTAGTCGCTATGCTGAAGATCCACTCTGAAGAGCGCGAAACGAGCGAAAAGGGTTTTAAGGCAGGAGAGATATCAGTAGGGTAGACAGGGTCTTTTCCACTGTGAATTACTCCCAACTTCCGGAGCGATCTTCTCGCTTTCGATTTTAAGTCACGCGTTCGCACTTTGCCGGCGGCGATGTCAGGATGGCTAGCGGAATGAGAAGATCGCTCCGGAAGCTAAACCTGAATTCACAGTGGGGAAGACCCCGCCCACTTTTGATTCCCCTCCCGCGTTTGAGCCCCTTTTCGCCATTTTTGTGCTCTCCACTGTATATTATAGAGATTAGGTTCGGGTAAGCACAAAATCTCAAAATCTTTTTCTCGGACACTCCTTTAACGGCTCGAAACTCTCGCTAAGGTTTTTCTAGCGTATTCCTGCACTAATGAACAGCAAACGCTGATTCAGTCTACACTGCGAATCTAAGATGTAACCAGCTCTACAGGAATGTGCCCTTAAGGTCGGTGAAAGAGACTGGAGCAAGAGAGATACTAGCGGTCAAAAGCTGTGCAGGTTTTAGAATCCTTGTAAGTGCATTCCTTATTAGCATGGCAGTCTCAGTCATCTTTGGATCTTGGTCACGCTCAGACACGACTTTGATCATAAGATTGCTCAAAATCATTAGACCTTTCTGTCTCAGGGCCTTTTTACACACTGTGATATGCGAGGGCCTTTCTGCACATCTTGTCGACAGTTAGCATCTGCGGTACCAAAGGACACTTACGATGCCATCGTTATAGGCGGAGGCCACAATGGACTTACTGCTGTAAGCTTTCAGTTAGCCATAATAAAGAATAACTATTTTTAACACCTAGGCAGCCTATCTGGCCCGCGCTGGAAAAAGGGTTTGTGTGTTGGAAAGAAGAAATGTGATTGGTGGAGCTGCTGTCACTGAAAAGATTTTACCAGGTTAGTAAAAACAGCTAGCTTACGGTAATAACAATTTCTCATTCAGGTTACAAATTCTCTCGCGCATCCTATCTCCTCAGCTTGCTTCGACCGATTGTTATCAAAGATTTGAAACTAAAGGTTGACTTGTCAACGATATTAATAAATGATCTAGGTCATTCTAGGAGCATGGGTTGCGGTATCATATTAGGAACCCCTCCTCATTTACACCGATTCGAGATTCCAAGGGGAGCTTATTGCTTGGACTTGATATACAGGAAAATCGCAGGGAAATTAGAAAATTCTCAAAAAGAGATGCTGAGGTGAAACCAATTTGAACAAGTACCAACACCGTAATTTTCATTACGCTGTTAGTATTTGCACCAAAATTTTATCCAGATGTTTCCCAAGTATGAAGAATTTATTGAAAAACTGGTAAAACCCTTGGGACCGCTGATGGACGAAGTGCCTTTGAATGCTCAACAATTCTCCAAACTCGAGTTGGTCAAGAAAACATGGAAAATGCTCCAGCGAGGTTTGTTTCAACACGGCTGAATTCCCTCAAAAAAATGTTTCCTTCCAGCGAGACAAATAGGAGCTTCAAATATGGTCGATTTCTATGAGTTGATGACAGCGCCGATTGCTAAGGTAATTTGGAAAAGTTTAATCGCAGAATTCGTTACAGATTTTCTGTAGATTATGGACAGATGGTTCGAGAGCGATGTTCTGAAGGCAACTTTGGGCACGGATGGAGTTATCGGATTTGCAGCCAGCCCATACGACCTGGGAACAGGGTAAGAGTTGCTTTATATACAGGGTGCCCCAAAAAATGTTAACACTGTTCGATCGTTAATAACTCCCTTGATTTCATGTCTTTCTGCGAGCTTGAGGCACCATTCTGTAGAGCGAGATTCAATTTAGATTTACAGTATGGAGCGAATCACCGTTCGCTCTTCGTTACTGTAGGATTACGGTAAGAAATTCCAGCATGGTGGAACCGTTGTGAAGTTGTCCTCTGACAAAATTTTTTTTCAAAAAATCTGAAAAATCGTGTACTAGGGTTTTCGCACACGCTGATTTTACTACACAACTTTTTACGAGTGTTTTCAGCTTTTTTGACGGTGTAATCACATTTCTGACACATGCTGGGAAGTTAGTTATTACACTTTACCTAGGATAACTTTGAAAAGAAGTATTATACTAAAATGGAAATTTTATATCCGAAATTAGCGGCTTTCATTACCATGGTACAAGAGATTTTGGCTTGTTTGGCTCTGTTTCGAAGCAGAAAATGGCCTTCAATAACCTAATCCTTGTCAAACTTCCTACCGTAATTCTACAGTAAAGAGGAGAGTTAGATGATTAGCTCCATGCTGGTAAAAGGGAGGATAAACCTAACTTTATCCTCGCTCTACAAATTGGTACCTAAAGCTCTGCGAAAGACGTGAAAGCAAGGGAGTTATTAAGATCAAACAGTGTTAACATTTTTTTGGGACACCCTGTATAACCATCATTACTTTGGCGAATAACCCTAGGGTCCCGGGGCTATAATGAGTCGTTGTTGATAATTTTAGGATGCGATTCCAAACTCATAAGTTTACGCGCAGATAATATTCTTACGCACTTGTTAGGTCTAGTTTGGTAAGATAGATTCAAGGATGCATATATTTGATAAGAAAAAAGCAGACTAAATAATATGCATTGTTAGTGTGGAGCATGATTCTAATGACAAGAAACGGTCACGAAGTCGAAGAGGCCTGTCACCAAGATGTATACCGGCAGTGAGAGCTTGGGCGCTGATTCCAAACCTGCTTTCCATATTTACAGAGCCCCTTTAGAAAATAAGATATAAGCATTTTTGTTGTGAAAAAATGAGGTAACGGCAAGGCTATAATCAATCGTTACAGCCTTCTAGACGTCAAATAGCGATATGGGATGGACTGATTTACTAGACAGAAGGAGTTTATTGTACGAAGTACCTTGACAGTTGGCGCTACTTTATTCAAGATCTAGAGAGGCTGTAATGATTAATATTATCTCGGTTGTTAGTTCATTTTCTCGCCTCAAAAATGCTTATAACTTCCTTCCCAAAGGCGCTCTGCAGATAAGACCGGATTTGGAATGGGCGTTCCAAGCTCTCACTTATGACATGCAGATTGTGGAGTTCGGCCTCTTCGGCTTCGTGACCTTCCCTTGTGGTTATTATGTCCTTTTACGATAAGATCAAGCATTTGATAAATAAGCCCGCAGTGGATTTGGTTGTCCAGACCTCCATGGCAGTTATCAAAGAACGAATGTTGAAATCTTCTCGTGCTTTTGTGAGCGTGCCAATGTTGTCTACCAAGCATTGAACTACAATGCGTAGGAAAAACAGCTCATTCCCAAATAAGATATCGGAGATGTGGACCGAAGCAAATCGAGATGTTAAACTTCAAGAATAGGGTTCTAAGTCACTTTTCCACTTCATCCTGGTTTGCTATTTTTATTTACCAATGCTAAAGACCACAGAATAAAATCATGCAAAGTAACAGATTCGCGCTTTTCTATCCTCACTTGAAAACTTTCAACTTTGAAGAAAGAGTAAAAGAAATTTTCAGCTATGTTCTGCTTCACCATGTTATCGGTGGAGTAGATGGCCACAGCGGAGCTTGGGCTTACGTTATGGGCGGCATGGGAGCGGTGAGTGATCTCGTGGCATTTGCCCTATACACAAATTCATTAAAGTCATTTTCTAATTATTAGGTATCATCAGCCATAGCAAAATCTGCACAAAGTCATGGAGCTGAGATATTTGTGGAACAGGTGTGTTTTCAACTATTTGGAGTTACCCAAACGTTTGACTTTCTTTATATTGCGAGTTGGACACTTGGATGACTGTTTTCAAATTACTGCACCACAGAATTAGATTTCCACTGTAAAATTTTTCTTTCTTGATGATTGCAAGATCTGAGTTACCAAAATTTTGATTGCGGTGGTGTTAGCTATTATGATATTGAAGAATCCTTCAGAAAATTACCAACATTTTTGCGCAACCTAGTTCGTGAATTATATCAAGTTTTTTTTTCAGTTTTTTTAGAGAGGGAGGGGGAGGGAGAGAGAGAGAAAACGGTAGGCATCTCAAAATGGGGCACAATGTGTCGAGTCTTTTCACATCATCAAAGCGCCATGTAAAGATCTGTTGTTTATGGAAGTCTGACGCACCGTTTCCCTGCTCTTCAACCCATGTTGAGCCATCTGCATAAGGTTATAGTCAAAATGAAGTCAATTTCTGTGCTCCTCGCTCAACTACGACACAGAATCCATTAAAAGTTTTACAAAAGTGCAAAAGCTTTCAGGAAGTGTCCGATATACTCATCGACGATGGCGCAGCACGAGGAGTTCGCCTAGTAAATGGAAAAGAAGTTTACGCAAAAGTTGTTCTTTCAAACGCAACGCCAAAAGTCACATTCGAACATTTGGTGGCAGAGGTTAGTTCCGTTTTCTTGGAATTGGATGGGATTGTTCATGTAGCTGGAAGAACGTTGCCTATTTCATGTTTAGAAAGAGTTGCCTGTGGAATTTCGCCGCGCGGTGAGCTCCATTGACTACACCTCACCAGTTACAAAAATCAATGGTAAAGACACAGAAGATTATTTTCACTGCTTCCGCATGATTCTCCCGAACTTTAGTTGCCGTGCGCGAATTGCCATCGTTCACCTGCTTACCAAATGTGGGTACTGCTCCTATGCCCCACCATCAGACAACGATACATCTCAACTGTGAAAGTATGCAAATTGTCGATGAAGCAGTGCAAGACTACCGAAATGGGCAATGGAGCAGAAGGTGACCTCGACTTTCACAATCATAAAAGCTCCAAGCATCATCTTCTAGGCCGGTCATAGAAATGACCATTCCATCTGTAGTCGATAGGTCATTAGTGCCTGACGATCGCTCTCATGTGATGTCTCTATTTACGCAATATACACCTTACACATTGAAGGATGGTCCATGGAGCAATGAGCGGAAAGAACAGTATGCAAAACATGGTAGATTTAATGCACTTTATCAAAATGACATGATGCTAAAATAGCAAATATATATACGTATAGGTTAGCAGATTTGACAGTAAATTTAGTCAACCAACAACATTTGCGCGGAAATAAAGCCAAGCTTGTGAAATCGACAAGCTGTTTGTGACTTGAGCGTAAAAAATGCCCGTAGAGCGCAAAAAGTTTATGTTACGCGCAAATTGCCGACAAGTCAAGAATACGATATTTACCGTATCTATCCCTATAGCGTCGCAGACTGATTTGTAGCGTTCTGCGCAAAAAGCTCATTTTAGAACTCAGTTTCTTGGGCACGTAATTTTCTTCAAACCTGTAAATGCTCATAAAATACTCATAGGACTGGAGATTTTAGCAACAATAGCGAACACGCATCCTAGTTAACATAATAACAACTTTGTCGCGGATTGGGCCCCCAGCTCCCAGCGTCAGTGGTATAATTGCTCTCCTGCATCGGCGAGGGGAGCCAGGGGTCCGCACCGTGAATAAGTGAACCATACAATGTGTGGTGGCTACCTGTGAGACGCTCGTTGTGCCTGCCACGTGGGTACTCCTTACGCTCTTAGGGGCCCTTGCCACCAGCCTGCTTAGTAGCGACTCGTCACCTGGGATCGACCTGTGCTTCCAGCCACCGACAGCTGGGGCGTGCACTCATAACCGTGGCACTTAGCTAGCATCGTGCCAGCCTTCCTACAGATGTTACCTACTAGGCAAGATTACGAAATACACCTGAAATGACAACCCGATATTCCGGAGCCACAGCCGAGCCGTGGTCACCGCTCCAACACATATCACACCTGTAAAGTGCCCACCATTTATCCGCAATAAAATCCCTACACTCAAACACACAGGATGAGCAACAACCAGCCAGATGTTACCTAGGGGCCGGCAATAACGGAAACCCCCCGAGGCGGTGTCGCCGGCGTGTGCCAGGTGCGATCGCGCTCGGGGTTACCTCGTAGCGTGGGAGCCAGTCCTCTGTGGCGTAGATGGAAGCACGCGAGAGTTGGGGTAGCGCTGGATCGATCGATAGTTGAGACGAAATGGAAGCCCGACCGCTCACTGTGACGGCAGCTGCGAAGACTGACTACGTGACTTATTTGAACGCTGCGAAGGTAAGAGAGGTGAGAGGCGGGACAGCGCGAGGACGGCGTTTTGGGACCCTTTGCGAGGCGGAGGGCGGCGACCTTTGAAGGAAGTCGCGAATCCGCGACACTCCGGGCAACAGAAAAGAAAGGGTCCGAGGTAGCTCCCGATCTGCCATGTTACCTACGACCCTACGAGTTAAACATACATACAACCTACGAGTCAAGTATCCCTAGGTGGAACGCGGGACCCTACTACCTGTCGTGGTAACAGCCGGTTGTTCTCGGAGGTAAGCATGAAGAGTCGTCGGGGGCTCTACTCTGGATACTGGCGGGCTTCTTCGGCAGTTGTGGAGACGATGGTTGCGTTGAACGGCAGTTGAGGTGACCATTGACATGACCATTGACTCGACAGTTGCGGCATCGACAGCTTGAACGGACCATGGAACTCGGCTTGACGGGGATGTTCGGCTTGACGTGACAGCGGCTCGACATTGGTGACGTTGAAGTGACGATGAGTGGCAAAAGGTGTTAAATTTGCCTACTGGCGCGGTTTTTCACGCCTGGGGGTGAATTCAAAGCGAGGGGGAGATTTTACCTCGCGGCACAAGACCCCTGGGGCAAGACACGTGCGAAAGGGGGCATCCCAAAAACTCCAAAAATAACACGGTCTCCCACCGTGGCCCCCAAAATTCGACAGTTGGGAAATAGGCACTTGAGATACACGTCAGCTGCGGGCTAACCTAAAATAGGGTCAGCAACAAACTGGGCGAGCTTAAGGCCCGCCGAAAACCACAAAATCAAAGAAAAAGGAAAAGAAAATAAAAGGATACGAATAAAATAGCTAAACTAAATTAAACGTACCCAAAAATCGTCAGTTGGGGCTATCGCAACAGTGAACTCGCAACTTGGGGGATCCTCATTCTCAATCTAAACAAATAACATTAATAAAGAAACGAAAGTTGAGGGGGCGAGCGCGAAGCTTCACCACAAACTCGCAAGTTGGGGAAACGTAACCTGGGGCTACTACTCATGAGGCGAAGCATCTCTTCTTGGGGGCTGACGATCGTGGGGCGAGGCGTCTCTCCTCTGATCTCTCCTGGCTCTCTGTCGCCTGCGCATGTCAGCTATGGCCTTGTACTGCTCAAGGGTAGTGAGGTATTCGTCATATGGGATATCGCAGGTACAGTGGTGCTGTTTAAAGCAGAATGAGGTGTCGTGGTCCTTAGAACGGCACGACCGGCATCTCCTGCCATAGCGAGGGCAGTCTTCCTCGGCATGGATGCCACAGCACAAGAAACATCCGCCCCTCCTCGCATTCAGATCCATCCTCTCACTCAAAAGAGTGTAGTTGGGGCAACTGGAGGAGTAATGGCGCTGCTTGCAGAAGTAGCAGCGGATGTTCTCGGGCGGTGTATCCGGCCTCCTCTGCTCCCGCTCTCTCTCCTCCATCGGCTCGTCCCTCTGACGCTCACCTAAAATGGGGTTTGGGGCCCCATCCTGGGGGGCGGGCGACACGTGGGGCGGTGTTGCGGCCGATGTGGAGCTCACTTCGTGTTCCCAACGAGACCTTTTGGGGGCTCTAGATGAGCGGGATCGGCGTCGATCAGTCGACGACGATGGCAACTCGGCGATGCCAGCAAGGACTTCTTCCTGGATGTCGTCCTGTTGCCGCTGTCGTGTGCGAGAGCGTGAATGCGGGCGCTTCGATGGGGTGCTCTGACGAGCTGTGGCTATCGCAGACTGTGGGCGCGATTCTTGGGGATGCGCTTCGAACCTGCGCATGATGATAACATGGTATTGGTGACGGATTCTCTCCATCTCCGCAACCATTGTGGCGGACGTGAGGTTGATCTGGGTCAACCCGTCCGGTGTGACTCCGTAGTGGGCTAACAGAGCGAGCCTCTGCTGAAGCTCGTCCGGGTGGAGGCGGAGAAGCTCTGTTAGACGGACGTTGACCGCATGGCGACGATAATTGATGTTGTATGTGAGTGTGTAGATGCGGTCGATCCTCTCTAGGAGTCCCTGGGTGTCTGGCAACGGCAGTTGGGATGTGGAAGTTATAAACTTTGTGGCTTCCGTAACAGCGTTGTCGAGTGCTTTCAACTCGTACGTGACCAGTAGGGGCATCAGGTGCTCGGTCTTGGCTCCGCTGAAATCCTCCTCGTCTGGCGAAAAGATCTCTTTCGTGAAGAGACTGCGGAAGCGTTGCCCGATCTTGCTGTGGAGGTATCCATCGATGAGCACGTAATCCTGTTGTCCCAGATGGGCTGGGTCAAAGATGTGCCTAAAGTTAAAAGCTGTGGTGAGCTGTTGGAGCAGACTCAGTGCGGGTCGGTAAGACTGGGGGACAGCGTGAGCCTGGGTATCGCTGTCAGCTTCACGTAGCAGTCGACGATTGGGATTATGCCCTTTGGCGATCGCGGTGATGAGTTCGATCATCGTCGGCTTGCGAGTGTTGGGGTCTTCTCCCGGCGGACTCAGATGGGATACGTCCACCTGGGGTGCGACCACTGGGGCGGGCGTTGGTTCCGGAACTTTCGCGGACGAAAGCTCACGGATGACCGCGGCCACAAGTGCGGCGCCGCTAGGATCGTCGGCGGTCTTCGTATCGCGATCCTTGGGGGGAGTCGGCTGTCTCCTGGGCGGCGTCCGCTCTCGCTCCGAGGAGCTCGTCCTCGAATATGATCGAGGACGTCTGCGAAACTGGTAGGCACTGTCCTTCGCGGGGACAGGCACTCCGCGTCTCGACTTCTCTTTGATCGCCATAGTACGCTTGTAGCTGGTCGGGCTACGATCGCTATTACCTGAAAAGAGAAGTATGAGAATGGGGGTACAACGTACTGTGAGTGTATACACACATGGAGTGTCACATGAGTGATGAAGGAATGAGAGAAGGAAGATGGGAAGAAAAAATGGGAAGAAAAGGAATTGGGAGAGAAACGTGAGGCCCCCATGATCTATGAGGTGTGATAAAAATGAAGTGTAAAACAAGTGAGGTCAATTGGTCAGGTCGCGCATGAGTTATAACATGTAGCATGCAGTATAACATGTCGAACATGTATGATGGGAGAATGATGTGAGAAAATGTGTGAGAGAGTGAGTGTGAAAGGTGTGTGAGTGAGGGAGAATGTGTGAGAGAGATAAATGTGAGTAAAGAGGAGTGTGAGTGTGAGTATGAAAGTTGTGAGTTAGAGTATGGAGTGAAAGAGTGAGTGTGAAAGTGAGATGGAGGCAAAATGAACTACAAAAGTAGATAAAATGAGAACGCGCGCACAAAACAAGAATTTCTTGCCTGACCAATATGCAAAAATTAAATGTGAGTAAGTAAAATGTGAGAAAGAATGTGTGAAAGGATGTGTGAGAAGATGTGAGAAAGAATGTGAGGTGTGAAAGTTGCAAAAGACAAGCCACTGCCTTTTTGGCACAATGTGAGGAAGAAAATAAAACAAAACAACGATAATTGAGGAGTGTGGCTTGTTGGGAGGTGAGAATGAAGAGAAAGTACAAAAATGAACGCAACATACAAGAAATCGCAAAGGAAGATGTTAAAATGACAACCAACGTGCGTCGGCATGATGCAATTTCGTATATGCGGACTGTAGCTTTCCCTGCGGGACCACCCAATCGGCGTAGTCGTGTGGAGCGCGTTTTCCGATTGGGGCGCGTATATTTGGGGATATGATGATAGGGCACGCTACACACACGCATCGCGTGTGGATTGGAGCGCGTTTATGCAGTGTGAGTCGAAATTTGTGGTTTTAAGCGTTTAGCTTTGCGGGGAGGCTGAATCCTCGTGGGAGAATGGGAAGATTGTCTAGAAGACGTTCTTCTGGGTCTGGATGTTGGGGTGTAGTCGTCCTGGGCATGAATCTCTAAAGGGTAAAGATGCGATAG